TCAATTCTCCCTAATTGATCTCTATATAGGTTTAATACAATCCAATCAAAATCCACCAGGATTTTTTAAATTTATTTTTTATTTTTATTTATTTATGTATTTATTTAAATTTTTATTTATTTATGATAGTCACACAGAGAGAGAGAGGCAGCGACACAGGCAGGGGGAGAAGCAGGCTCCATGCACCGGGAGCCCGACGTGGGATTCGATACCGGGTCTCCAGGATCGCGCCCTGAGCCAAAGGCAGGCGCCAAACCGCTGCACCACCCAGGTATCCCTTTATTTTTTTTAAAGATTTTATTTATTTATTCATGAGAGACACACAGAGAGAGAGAGGCAGAGACACAGGCAGAGGGAAAAGCAGGCCCCAAGCAGGGAGCCCAACGTGGGACTTGATCCTGGGACTCCAGGATCACGCCCTGGGCCGAAGGCAGGCACTAAACCACTGAGCCACCCAGGGATCCCCAGGATTTTTTTTTTTTTAATAGATACTGGCAAAAGAAAAAAAATAAAAATAAAAATAAAAAAATAGATACTGGCAAGTTGATTCTAGTATTTATATAGAAAGGCAGAGGCACGTGGGTGGCTCAGCAGTTGAGCTTCTGCCTTCGGCTCAGGGCGTGGTCTCGGGATCTGGGATCGAGTCCCCACATCGGGCTCCTCGAAGGGAGCCTGCTTTTCTGCCTGTGTGTCTCTGCCTCCCTCTCTGTGTCTCTCATAAATAAAATCTTAAAAAAAAAAAAAAAGGCAAAAGAGCTAGGATAGCCAAAACAATTTTAATGGGGGAAAAAACAACTTACTATACCTGATTTCAAGACTTACCATAAAGCTACAGTAATCAAAACTGTTGTTTTGGTGAAAGGACACATATAGATCAATGGAACATTGTTATACGAAACCAATCCTTTTGAAAAAAGGACTTATTTTATTGCCCAATATATAAACACTTTGTGTTAGAAAAGAACTGCTTCTTTGTATTCTACATCCAATTTCACCGATGAAAAGATGCACATTTTTAACACTTAAACATCTCTGAAATCAAGTGTGCATCTGGCCATCAGTGCCCCGTCGTACTTGCACTGGCAGTGGGTTTTCTCTTACTGGTACTTCGGGGCGCCTGGGTGGCTCAGTCAGTTAAGCACCCAGTTCTTAATTTCAGTTCAGGTCTTGATCTCAGGGTCCTTCTTACTTGTACTTAAGATAATAGTATGCCTTACAATCAATGGTGGCTTACAGCTGGTGAAATTCAGCATATTAGGTCAAGGTTTTTACTTGTTCAAATCAATGTCCTTACTGATTGTTTTCCTGGTTTTTGCATTAGTTATGAGAGGTATGTTAAAAACCTGATTATGTAGTTTTCTTTCTCATTACATTTCTGCATTTTTCTTCACATCCTGATCCTTATTACATGCATTCAAGTTTAGATGTTTCATCTCCCAGATGAATTGTATCTTTCATCATTTTAGAGTGACTGTCTTGTCCCCCAAGTAATATTTTTTTCTTTAATTTTGTTCAATTGAAATATAGCTATACCAGTGCTTTCCTTTGGCTAGTATTTGGCTGGTGTAACTTTTTCCATGTTCTTCCTTTCAACCCTCTGTATTCTTGTGTTTTAGATATGCCTTTTGTAAATTACATATATAGCTGGATATTGTTTTCTAATTCAACAGGACAATCTTTAGTATTTAACTGAAATGCCCAGTGCTTTTACCTTTATCATGATTGATACATACAGATTTCTCTTTTACTTTGGGCAATTTGTCCTGCCTGTTTCTTTTCTCTGTTTTCTTTTGGACTAATGAGTGTTTTTATTAGGCATAGAATTCTAGATGTTTTACTATGTACAATGATACTTTTTCAACAGCGGACTCTTTCCTCTTTTCCTCAAGTAGTTTGAGCTTGTGGAAAGATCATGTTTTATGTTTATTTGGTATCCAAGTACAATGTTTTGTACAGTTAATTCATAGAAATTGCATTCAATTACTTATGATGGTAGTTGAGTAGTAGGCAAAGAAGTAATGTCTTTCTCCTTTTTGAAATGCAGTTAGAAAATCTAAGTCCATTTTTGTTTAGTATTTTATAAACTTAATCTAAGTGTTATTTGCAGAATATTTCTGGAATTTAAAAAAATTGTGGAGGGGGGAGGAAGCATTTTTTTTCCAGATGTAATATTAAGTATCTAATTATTGTCAATAGAATATAAAATGCATTTTTTGCCAAAACAAAGCATTGTTTTTTTAATTTTTTTAAAGATTATTTATTTATAGAGATGGAGAGAGAGAGAGAGAGAGAGAGAGAGAGAGAGAGGCAGAGACACAGGCAGAGGGAGAAGCAGGCTCCATGCAGAGTCTGACATGGGACTCGATCCTGGGACTCCAGGATTATGCCCTGGGCTGCAGGCGGCGCTAAACTGCTGCGCCACCAGGGCTGCCCCCAAAACAAAGTATTGTTACCATACATAAAGTCCTAAGTTTTCTTTGGTCTTCTTGGTCTTTCATTTAGAGAATGGTACATATTAAGATACCATTTATGAACTTCTAAAAAAGACACCATTTAATCTGTTATTTATAAATTTATGTAGTAAATATAAAAACATGGACTTGGGGGCACCTGGCTAGCTGTCAGTAGAGCGTGTGACTCTTGATCTCAGGGTTGTGAGTTCCAGCCCCATAATGGGTATAGAGATTACTTAAAAAAAAAAATGGACTGGATCCACACTAAACTCACGATACTGGTTTCCTTTAGGAAGGGAAATTGGCCTAGGGATCAGAAAATTATCTGAAGTAAAGATAACAATATTAACATTTATTATTCTGAATGGTGGGTGTACAAGGATTTGATATGGTCAACTTGTGTAGTTTTTTTATATATTGTTTTAAAAGTTTGTAAAACTGTGATTTAAAAATGAAGGTTGCCATCTAGTGGGCACATTTAAATAGAACCTTAAAAATCTTTGCTAATAGGTAAAGATAACAGAACAAGGCGTTTTAGACACTTCAACACAGATAAGAAGGTACATTCTGGTGGTCAAGACCACAAACTTTCGGAGTTGATCACACCTAGGTCTGAACCCTAATTTTGTTATTTACTGTGTGATTTGGGCAAAGTTTCAAACTTTTCTATGCCTCAGTGAATTTGAACCCCAGACATTGATCCATTATGGAGCATCCCTATGAACCAGGTAAGCGCTGCTTCAGACTATGTGGAAAAGCACAAAAGAGAATCTCTCTCTAGAGTTTAATAGGGACTATTGTTTTATTTTTTAAAATGGGATTAGTGTCCTTTTATGTATTTATCTAAGCTCTACACCCAACGTGGGGCTTAAAAAAACAAAACAAAACAAAACAAAAAACCCAAGATCAAGAGTCACATGCTCTACTTACTGAGCCAGTGAGGTGCCTTAGGACTACCATGATTGGTTAGATACTAGGCTTAAGTCCTAGATCCCTAGTTATTAATGCTTATATCACCTTAGGCAAGTAATAAGATCACAAGATGACGAGATCTAAATTCCACAAGAGGTGTAAAACTATCTTGTTCACTCTTCCTTGTAAGGCTTGACATATAAAAGACCTTTAATAGTATGAATGAATGCTATTACTTCAGTACAGTTTCTGGTGGATTTACTGTCCTTGCTGCCCTCAGTAAATAGTAGATATTAAGGAAATGATATGACTGTGTATGTTATATATATATATATAGGAAACCCTGGATTTGTAAACAATTTAAAAATTTATACACATTTACATATGTTATCAGTTAAAAACTGTATGTACTTATCTAAGGCAGTAAACTACTGTATATATATCCTGTCAATTTTGAGGGAAAGGATCCCAACCATGAAATCATAAAGACTTGATCCCTAATGCCCAATGTTTTCTACAACGAAATTTATACTGAGGGGACAGTTACCAGAATCTGTCTCTTATAAAAAAAAGGTTAAAATGGCCTAAACCTCCTCCAAATAATTGTCCTTGAAGATTCTTGCCAAACTGTCCTTAGCACAGGCTTCTGAAATCTACAACTTTGATGTCAGCATTTCTTTGCTTTGTTTTATAGTAAAAACAAGTACTATTTTAAAAGAAACCTACTTTGTGTAACAAATATAAATTTTCATACTTTGACATTATTCTGTTTCACTGTGACCTGTTGTGACTTTTCCTTTAAATCAAGCCCTTACTCAAATTTCACTCACTTTGTATCATTTTTACAGCATCATTTGAGAATCTGAACTGTCATATTTAACTATATAATTATAAGCCATAAATACTTATTTTTATATCATTCCTACGTCCATATATTTTCACTGGAGAAAAACACATTTAACCAATAGCTGCAATATAATAATTGAATGAACAAATATACAGTTGACCCTTAAGCAACACAGGTTTAAACTGTGCAGGTCCACATATGCATGGATTTTTTTCCATATAGTACAGTATTAGAAGTGAATTTTCTCTTCCTTGTGATTTTAATATGTTCTCTAGTTTTATTTTAAGAATCCAGTATATAATATATGGAACATACAAAATAGTATTGATTATTATTGGTAAGGTTTGTATTAGTTTTTGGAGGAGTCAAAAGTTATGCATGGATTTTTTACTGCATAGGGGGTCAGTGTCCCTAACCCCTGCATTGTTCAAGGGTCAACTGTAGCAAGATTTTCAAAGCTCTAATACATGCCATTCATGCTCTATACAAAAAAAGTAAGGGAATATAATTTATATACTCAAGATTTGTTCATAGGCAATAATTATTTCCATCAGCATATAAATTGAGGGACACCTGCGTGGCTCATCGGTTGTGTTTGCATTTGGCTCAGGGTGTGATCCTGGAATCCGGGATGGAGTCCTGTCTGCAGGGAGCCTGCTTCTCCCTCTGCCTGTGCCCCACTCCCTCTCTCATGAATAAATAAATATCTTTTTAAAAAAATGAACAGAATGGCTATCAGGAAGCTTGTCCACATATCAAGTGATATATTTTACATTCAGCAAACTTAATTTTATCAAATATCCTTTAATTTCACAGACAACAATATGATACATATTGTGTAAGAAGCGCACAATTTTGCAGTACAATTTCAAAGTGTATACAAACTGGAATACAGAGATTAAACACTGGTGTACTGATGGGCATTCTTGAGCTTTGGATAAACTGTATACAAAACTTGCAATTCAAATATTAGCCAATCTGGAAACTTCTCATAATATAAAAATGATACTTTGAGATGCAAAATATTTTTTTTTTACTAAACAAACTATATAAACATTTAAAATACTCATTAAAAACTCAACTTTAGAATTTATAAAGATTAGCTATAAAAATATATTGGCAGTCACTTTTCTTAGAAATGTACCATTCACTACATTACAAAATAGACTCTACCATAAAATTGCCTTAATAACCATACTATTTTAGAATCTGATAAACCTTACATTAAATTGATTATAAAATCCTCTTGGAAAACTTTGGTATGCATCTTCAGAAGGTTTTTAAAAAATACTCTAATATCTCAAGGGCCTGTAAACATTCCATTCTATTAAAGCACAACATAAGTAATGTATATTGAACTGCATACAGAATATAGAATCAAAAAACAATTTATTATATATTCGTAGAAAATCTCCATTCCCAGAGTAACCAAAAAACAAGCTATTTAAAAGTATCAAACTTTTAAACAGAAGTTCTCTTTCCATTCTGATAAAAAAATGTTACAAAATCACCACACTCCATTCATGTACCTTATATGCCTTTTAGGACAAAGCCTAAAAATAGTGAATCCATGTCTCAAAACCCCTCAAGTCCAAAAAACAAACTTAAAAAAACCATTTAAAAGATCTGACAATAGAACAAGTATACATAATCAGAACACATAATTTATATATTTAGTTATGGTATTAGCTTTTCTTTTATATTTGTAATTTAGAATTTATCGGCAGAAAAAACCGTACACGCGCGCACACACACACATACACAACTGAAAAAGGTAAATTTTAGGAAACAGTAAGAAATGCAAACCTACAGGGTAAACTGATTTATTTTAAAAATCAATTTACCAAATTTCATCTTATCTGCCATTTTTGGATTCTTGTTATTTAGAAAATTCAAATTGGTGCAAATTCATTTCCTGCTTCTTGCGTAGGTTTAATTTGTACAGCATTTCCAGTTGTGCCAGTAACTTCCTTGAGGTCATTTTCTACTTTATCTTCTGTCACCAGATCTCTTGCATAAGATATTTGAGTTGCAAAAGCCTAAATAAAAAGCTTCATTTTTGACCTTTTAATTTATAAAACTCCACTAGAAAAAAAGAAATCCATCTAATTTTAGGCAAGTCTGCAAAAATATTTCTTTCTTAATCAAACACTTTTGTGGGAATAAAGATCCTTCAAAGTTTTTAACTCTTCTATTAGAGTTTTGTTTTGATTTTCCAAGACTGCAACTCGATTTTCCAGGCATTTTACATATTCTTTCTTCTTTCTGCGACATTCTCGAGCAGCTTCTCTAAATATAAGCATTAAAAACCAGTGTTAGAAAAAAAGTTCACATTCTTTAAATGGAAGTGCACCGCATTAATCCTCCCTGGTCATCCATATCGCCATTGAGCGAAATATATTGATCTTAAGCGTAGCATTCAATCTGTTTTGGCAAATGCATATACCTGCATAACCTACACATTTATCAAGACAGAATATCTTTGTTGTCCCAGAAAGATCCCGCATGCCCAGTCCTGTCAGTCCTTTCCCCCAACAATTACTGTTCTGATTTTTATCACCTATTCCACAACTTCCTGTAACAGAGTCATACAGTATGTACTCTTGTGTTTGGTCTCCTTTCACTCATTATATTTTTGAGTTTCATTGATGTTTGTGCAGTGGTTTCTTCCCTTACTGCTGCTGGGTGTATTCCACTGTGACTATCACCACAGTTTATCGATCTATTCTTTGGGGCTGTTTCTAGTTTTAGCTGCTATGCTTATACCTGTCTTTTTGTGAACAGATGTCCCATTTTTCCTGGACAAATATCAAGAAGCAAAATTTATGGGTCCTCTGGTTATCTTCCTTTATTTTTTATTTAGGTTTTAATTACAAACAGTGCTTGATACTCAGTTTTGTTCATGTCCTCTTAACAATATTTCTATGAAGTCCCATGCATGTATTACATAAATAGAGAAGTAGAAAAGTATTGAGTATTTTTTTAAATTTTTTTTTTTTTTTTAAGATTTATTTATTTATTCATTCAGAGAGAGCGAGAGAGGCAGAGACAGAGACACAGGCAGAGGGAGAAGCAGGCTCCGTGCAGGAAGTCTGATGTGGGACTCGATCCCGGGTCTCCAGGATCACACCCCGGGCTGCAGGCGGCACTAAACCGCTGCGCCACCAGGGCTACCCGAGTATTTTTTATACTATGTACTTAATGTAAGTATTACCCGCAACTTGTTTTTTTACACAGAATTTTAATGATGTTTCTATGTTGGTACATATCTTTGCCGTGTGAATATTTCACTGCTAATTCATATTCATTTCCCCAACTACTAGTGAGACTGAACATCTTTTCAAATATTGGTCATTTGGATCTCTTATGTAAACTGCCTATTCATACCCTTTTTCTATTCATATCTTTTCCTGTTTTACAATGAGAAATTACAACCAGGAAAGCCTGCGTGGCTCAGCGGTTGAGCGTCTGCCTTTGGCTCAGGGTGTGATCCTGGGATTGAGTCCCACATCGAGCTCCTACAGGGAGCCTGCTTCTCCCCATGCCTATGTCTCTGCCTCTGCGTGTCTCTCATGAATAAATAAAATCTTAAAAAAAAAAAGGAAATTACAACAACCTAAGGACTCTCTCTGTGCATTATACATATTAATCCTTTATTTAAAAAAAAAAAAAAAAAGGGCATCCCAGGTGGCTCAGGGGTTTAATGCTGCCTTCAGCCCAGGGCCTGATCCTGGAGACCCGGGATCGAGTCCCACAGTCAGGCTCTCTGCGTGGAGCCTGCTTCTCCCTCTGCCTGTGTTTCTGCCTCTCTCTGTCTCTCATGAATAAATAAAATCTTAAAAAAAAAAAAAAAGATTATCTGAGAGAGAGACACAGAGAACACATGCACATGGTGGGAAGGAGCAGAGGGAGAAAGAGTCCTAAGCAGACTCCAAGCTGAGCTTGGAGCCCAAAATGGGGCTTGGTCTCAACACCTTGAGATTTAGGACCTGAGCTGAAACCCAAGAGTCGGACAGTTAATCAACTGCCCAAGTGCCCCTCTTTATCTGTTCTTTTTTTTTTTTTAAGATTTATTTATTTATTTACTCATTCATTCAGAGAGAGAGAGAGAGAGACAGACAGACACACACAGGCAGAGGGAGAAGCAGGCTCCATGCAGAAGTTCAACATGGGACTCCATCCCGGGTCTCTAGGATCACGCCCCGGGCCGAAGGTGGCGCTAAACCGCTGAGCCACCTGAGCTGCCCATCTTTATCTGTTTTTATATTATTTTCTACTCTACCATTTGACTTCTCAGATTTTTTTATTTTTATATCTTATACCATAAATGTCTTTTTCTTGGCTTAAATTAAAATTCCCTGCAGCACTGTATATTCTTCTTTTAATTTTAAAGATTCTATAGCTTAATTTTTCACAATGAAATCTTTATCTGGAATTACTTTTGTATGTGATATAAAATAATGAGTCCAATTTAATTTTCTTTCACATGTGGAGCTGTCAGTTAACATTTATTAAATAAACCGTCCCTTAGAAGTATACTAACACAAAAAGCTATTTTTGGGCTCTACCCTGTTTGCTAATGTTACTGTCTGCCTCTTTGCTAATACCAAGTTTTGGGGTTGTTTTTTCCACCTGGGCACCCCACTGATACCAAGTTTTGATTACAGTGGTATTAGAGAGTATGTTTCAATGCTTAACATGACAAGTAAGCTCTTTCTGTTCTTAACCATTCTTGAGTATTTTTTCTTTCATGTAAACTTTTATTTTGTCTAATTCCATGGAGATCTACAGAGATTCTAATTTGAATCACAAGTTTCTTTCTTTTTTTTAAAGATTTATTTATTTATTCATGATAGACATAGAGAGAAAGAGAGAGGCAGAGACACAGGCAGAGGGAGAAGCAGGCTCCATGCCGGGAGCCCGATGCGGGACTCGATCCCGGGACTCCAGGATCGCGCCCTGGGCCAAAGGCAGGCACCAAACCACTGAGCCACCCAGGGATCCCCCACAACAAGTTTCTATGTGAATTTTGGAAGAACTGACATTTTATATTAATGGCCCTCATCGAAGAACACCGGTATTTTCTATATATTCCGATACTGTTTTAGTTCTCAATAAGATCTTTAAAATGTGGATCCTATGTCTTTCCTATTGAATTTGCTAAGTATTTTATGATATGTTACTAATGTGAATTTTACTTTCCATTGTATTTTCAAGATGGTAATTCATAGAAAATAACTTATTGCTGAATTCCTTATAAATCACAGTAGTTTAAAAATTTTTTTATTATGGAATAGTATACACACACAAGACTATGCAGTGTAGTTATAAGTTATGAAGCATATCTGCAAAATTATAAAATGAACACATGTAAACCCAACACCCAATTGAATAAGTAAATAATCAATATTGCTGAAAGAACCCTCTGTGCATTTTCCTGATTCCATCCCTCTGCCTTTTGCCCAAAAGCAATTATTAGCTACAATTTTTTATTTATATTCATAGTTTTAGTAATAAAGGCCTCTAAATTACACATAATTTAGTGTGCTTATTTTCTAAAATTATAACCTGTTTTCATTCAACTTTATTTTTCTAATATTTATTCATGTTACAGTGATCATTCCAGTTGATACAAATGAACACTCTTTCATTGTATAAATACAAGTACAATGTATGTATCCATTCTGTTACTGATGAATACTTAGGTGGTTTCCTAATTTTTTTGCTGTGTGAACATTCTTATGCATACTTCCTGCAATAGTCTGTCTTAGGCACATACACAGAATAACAGCTGAGTCAAGAAGCACATCCAGATCAACTACACAAGATAAGGCCAATTAATTTCAAAGCAGCCATGCCAATTTTCACTCCTGTAAGCAGTCTTTGAGTTTCACTGTTCCAAAACCTTGCCAATTCCTGGTTAGACTTTAAGATTTTTGCTAATAGGGTGGGGATAAATGGTATCTGAGTATGTGGTATTTATTTGCATTTCTTTGATCACTGATAAGGGCAAGCAATTTTTAATAAGATTATTAACCACCTGTGTTTTCTGAGAAATGCCTATTTATCTTCTGTTGGGTTGTACTTATTAATTTTGAAGATATTTGTATTTTTTCAAACACATTTTTTGGGGTTAGACATGCTGCCTGTATCCTCTATAGGCTTGAAGCTTGTATTTTCACTCTATTTTGATGAAAAGAAATTATTAATGAAGATTCATTAATCTTTTATGTTAAAGTTTGTGTGTGGGAGGGGGTGTTAGTTGTTTTAAGGTATTTTTCCCTATTCCTGAAGCCAAAAATTACATATTCTCACCACAAAATTTCAAAATGTCACCTTTCACATTTGTGTTTTTATCCATCTGCAGTGATCTTTGTGTATGGTGTGAGAAAAGAAATCCAGTATTTTTTTTCATATATCAGTAATTACCCTGGTACAATTTATTGAAGTGTTCCTCCTTCCCCCAATAATCTATCCTACTGTATTAGGGTTTTATGTGTTCATGGATCTATTTTTGAGCTCTCAATTTCTTTGGTCATTTTATTTTTTTTCTCAAAGCCAGTATCACATTATTTCAGTTATCACAGCTTTAAATAAAACTTGATATCTCCTCACCTTATTCTTGTCTGGAATATTTTGGCTGTTCTTGGCCCTTTACTCTTCTATCAATTTTAGTATCACTTGTCAAGTTCTTCAAACAACCTGTTTGGGTTTTGATTGGAAGTGCACTGAATCTATGGATCAACTGGGGGAAAAATAATCATCTTTATAATACTGAGTTTCTGTTATCTATGGACATAGTATTTATTTCTCCATTTATTTAGATCTTCCTTAGCGTCTTTCAAAAATCACTGTACAATATTTTTCATAAATGTCTTAGACATCTTTTGTTAGATTTATTCTCAGGTATTTTATTTGCTGATAACATAAATGATATATTTTTAATAATTATTTATTTACCCAACCATTGCTGATGTAAGGAAATACGATTTTTGAAAACGGGCTTTATATTTAGCAGCCTTATAAATTCATTACTTCTAGTAATTTTTCTGTAAGTCCATTTTAAAAAATAGGCAATTCTGTATAAAATAGTTTTCTTTCATTTAAATTCTTGTATTTGCCCCCTGCCCTTTTCCTGTTTTACTGAATTGCCAAAGATTTCCAGTACAACGTTGAAGAGAACTGTTTCTTTTTCAAGCTTTCATACTTTGTAGATGATTCTACTGGGTATTCTAAGCAGATGAATATATATTTGCTACTAATAGCAGTTTTATTTTTCCCAATTTTTATCATTTTTATATGGTCTCTTCATCTTTGATGATTTTCAATGACATCCTTTTTTTTTTTTCCTTTGAATATAGTAGATAGATTAACTGAAGACTTCTCATATCTCATTCTGTTATCTGCTCTTTCTGCTGATTCTAGCTCCTGAAAGGTAGTATGGTATTATCTGAGACTTTGGACTCTGAAACATGGACATGTGTGTTTCAATCCTACCTCTACCACTTACTAAATAGTTTAATCTTGGGTGAAAAACTACATTAGGGGTTGGGTAGTCTGTGATTTTTCAACTTATATTTGTTAGAACTCAACGTATGAGAATTTGTTAAAGCCTGGGTTGAGATCGCTTTCTTCCAAAAAGTTAGGGCACTTTGGACCCAGACCCATTTTTAAATTATAGCTCTTAAACAACACAGGTTTCAACTGTGAGTCTACTTATATGCAGATTTTTTTCAATAAATATAGCACTGTAAATGTATTTTCTCTTCCTTATGATTTTAACATTTTCTTTTCTCTAGTTTACTTTATTCTAAGAATACAGTATATAATACACCTAACATACAAAATATGTGTTAACCCACCGTTATCAGTAAGGATTCTGGTCAACAGTAGACTAAGTTTTTGGGGAGTCAAAAGTTATACATGGATTTTCAACTGGGGAGAGGTCAGCACCCTAACTGGTGTTGTTCAAAGGTCAATTTTATAACTCTCAGTTTTGGGTAAAGCACTTCTTGGGTGTTGAGTTCAGGAAAAAGAATCTCTGATCCATTTTCCCAGCCTGCACAAACCCCAGGCTTTGTCCCTGGTCCCCACCGATTACCAAAGCTATCCCAATCACAAAGATTTGAATTTATCTGTAAAGTATATAGGGGCTGCTTCAGTGCTTATTAACCTCATGGTCTTGTGCTTCTGGTTCATTTCTAACCTCAACAGATAGCTCTTCTAATTATTTAAAGGGGTGGTTTTTATATTTTATCAAGCTTTTTTTTCTTAAGATTTATTCATTTGACAGAGAGAGAGAGCACAAGCAGGGGGAGCAGCAGGCAGAGGAAGAGGAAGAGGGAGAAGCAGGTTTCCTGTTCAGCAGGAAGAGGAAACAATTCCTACTCTGGATGTGGGGCTCGATCCTAGGACCCTGGGATCATGACCTGAGCCAAAGGCAGACACTTAACCGACTGAGCCATCCAGGTGCCCCTCATCAAGCTTTTAAAAATATTATATAGCTGAGGTCATACTGTCAGAAAGAGAAGTCTCATTCTAGTTAATTTTTAACAAGTCTTTTTGGTTTCCTAGGTACACAATCATATCATCAGCAAAAAAAATACAATTTTTCTCCTAGTATTTACACATCTTAGTTTCTTGTCTTAGTGCACGCATCTGCTAGAACCTCCAAAATAACATAATCCTGCCATGTTACCAAGTTCATTTACAACGATATCTGCTCTTAATTTTTAGTAACGAAACATTTTATCCTGAAGTAATTAAATGCATCTCTCTGGTCCTCTTATAATAATTTTTATTGCTCTAGAAAATCATCCTTTTATTCTGGTTTTCTAACTGATTGTTGAGGAGCTGAAAATAGAATCCTATTGTAATTTTAAAAACATTTTTTTTACCTGTGGATATCTCCCCTTTTTGGTTCCTAATATAATTTACTGGTATCCTTTCTCTCCTTTTTTTCCCTTGAACTCACTGAGAAGGCTACTCATTTTTATTTCTCAAAGAACTGGTGGTTTTTCATGGCTGATGTACATACAGCTATGTTTAAAATACATTTAAAATGAAAATAAATGTTTCTAGAGGTTAAATCACTGCTATATATTCATGGGTAAAATTAATTTTTGAGGATCATTTCTGCATCCATCACTTTTTGTAGAAATTCTTTCCTCTTCTTGCTGTCAATGGCTAGCAGCAAATTATTATTTTCATTTAACTTTTGTCAGCCCAACAAGAACAAAATAAATTGAAAAGCTCTGCTTAACAGTACTATTCAAAAGATACAATATATGAAATAGAGAGATAAACAATGGAATGCAGTGGTCCACTGGAAATGAACTAGATATAATCTAACACTCAGTTTAAAAAAAAAGGCGTATATAACCTCTCTTCATTTTTTAAAAAGTAAGCTCTATATCCAATATGGGGCTCAAACTCACAACCCCATGATCAACAGTCATGTGCTCTACCGACGGATCCAGCCAAGTGTCCCTAACCTCTCTCATTTTTAATATGCACTTCCAGTTAGCACCTGGTTATGTCTTGATATTTATAAAAACATTACCCATTCTGGCAATACAATTTTACTACCTACCTGTTTTTCATCAACCTTATTTCTCTTTTCAGTTGGGGGTCATCTGTTTTAGTTGTCTGAGATGTTAGAGTCACAGGGGAAGTCATCACCACAGTTTGTGGTAGTGAAGTAGCTGAAGGTGTGGTACGGATCTGATAAGTCTGCATATCTCCTGATGCAGCTGTGTGGTCAAAAGATTGAGTTAATTCGTAAGTGTCTTTGAAAGTACATTGGATGTTTTCTATAGACATTTAACCATACTTACTTTGTACAACCACTTGGTTGCTGGGCACAAGTATTTGCTGTCCATCAGAGGTCTGTGCATATTGGAGAATTGTTGTACCTTGCTGAGTACTGCCTGAATTTGTCATGGTTAATGTTTGAAGTCCCTGTACTCCATCTGTGCCTGGACTGGCCAGTTGTAAGGCTCCATTTGGGGCAATGGCAACTTTAACCAAAGAGAGAACATAGCTTTTGTAAGGCTATACAATACACTAAATTGCAAAGGATTGGTGAAAAAAAACCCTAAACACTATTTATTAAAACAGGTCTGAATGCAGTTCCACTTGATAACTGTTGACTACTTTGAACTATATGTAAAAGAAATAAAATGGCATTTATCTGTAAAATTTTATAGTTCAGATGCACCAATCTTAAATTTAGTCTCAAACTACAATATAACTGATTAGTCAAAACACATTTTAGGTTCCATGAAGCACCACATGCTAATTGCTAATGCTGTCACATTAATTCTGGTGCAGTAGGAGAGGGTATCAATAGCTAGCTTTTAAAGGAAAAATAAGTAGAAGGAAACATTAACATAGTTTGCAATTTTTATACAAATAAGCTGTAAAAAAACCCCAAAAAACCAAAAAACCAAATAAGCCGTAAAGTTGGGCAGCCCCGGTGGTGCAGCGGTTTAGCGCCACCTGCAGCACAGGGTGTGATCCTGGAGACCAGGGATCGAGTCCCACGATGGGCTCCCTGCATGGAGCCTGCTTCTCCCTCTGCCTGTGTCTCTGCCTCTCTCTCTGTCACTCATGAATAAATAAAATCTTTTTTTTAAAACACACACACACACACACACACACACGCGCACTCACAAACAAGCTGTAAAGTATTTTTGTGTGTGTGTAAAGTTCTTTTTTTTTTGTGTGTGTGTGTGTGTGTAAAGTATTTTTGAATAGACTATGCTTATGGAAAATTTTGAATAGGATTGAAGGTTATATAATGAAAACATAAATCTTCATGCTGTTTCTGAGCTCTACTTTCCAGTGGTAACCACTGTTAAAATGTACTAAATGTTACTTACCTAGGTGATATTTTAAAAATGTAATCTATTCAAGTCACTTCCTAGAGAAGATCACCAGTAAGGTATGTCATGAGAAAGCCCATTTATAGATCACATTACTATATGCCCCCCAAACATTTTTCAATAAATTTCATTTATGTTAATATTTTCCTCTCAAACTTTATTTTTTAAAAGTATTTATTTATTTATTGATTGATTGATTGATTCATTCATTCATGAGAGATCCAGAGAGAGAGAGGCAGAGACACAGGCAGAGGGAGAAGCAGGCTCCATGCAGGGAGCCTGATGCAGGACTTGATCCCAGGTCTCCAGGATCACACCCTGGGCCAAAGGCAGGCGCTAAACCGCTGAGTCACCCAGGGATCCCCTATATATTCTTTAACTATAATTTATTCATAACAAATTTCACGGAAAGCCTACTATGCACCAGGCCCTCTATACTTGGTGTTTACAACTATGAACAAGACAGAGTTCTTTCCCTCAAGGAACTTATCCTTGAGAATAGATCATAAATAAGCTGATCTTTAATTATATATAATCTATAATTAAACTAACATGTTTTTTATTTTTTTTAATTTTTTTTTTAATTTTTTTTTTATTTATTTATGATAGTCATACAGAGAGAGAGAGAGAGAGGCAGAGACACAGGCAGAGGGAGAAGCAGGCTCCATGCACCGGGAGCCTGATGTGGGATTCGATCCCGGGTCTCCAGGATCGCGCCCTGGGCCAAAGGCAGGCGCCAAACTGCTGCGCCACCCAGGGATCCCATAACATGTTCTTTTTAATAATCACATATAAATGCTATTAAAAATATAAGAAAGTTAACCAAAGACCGTATTTTAAGAAGAGTGGTCTCTGTGAGGAAGTGACATTTAAGCGGAACAGGAGTGAGGATGTAAGTCATGTGAGGCTCTGGGAGAAGAATGTGCCAGGCAGTGGGGATAACAAGCCCAAATATATTGAGGCAGAAACAAATTTCATGTGTTGTAGAAACAGCAAGAATGCCATTCAGTGGCAGATGAGATTGGAGTTGGGTAAGCAAGGCCAGAGCCTGGATGTTAACTTACCCTTGTAGAACTTATTCTAGGTGTGATGGAGCGTCACTGGAGGATCTAGAGGAAAAGTGGTGTGATCTAATTGACATTTTAAATAAACTGCTTTGGCTGCAGTATGGAAAACAATGACAGCATGAACAGAAGCCAAATAACCAATTGGATGTCCACCAGTGCTCAGATGGGACATAGATTTTGTGGCAAGAGTCAACTAGACTTGAAGAACAGGACTTAAGAATGGAGGAGAGGGGGCAGCCCTGGTGGCTCAGCGGTTTGGCGCTGCCTTCAGCTCAGGGCCTGATCCTGGAGTCCCGGGATCAAGTCCCACATTGGGCTTGCTGCATGGAGCCTGCTTCTTCCTCTGCCTATGTCTCTGCCTCTCTCTCTCTCTCTTTCATGAATTAAAAAAAAAAAAAAAAAAAGAATGGAGGAGAGGGCCATCTGGGTGGCTCAGCGGTTGAGCTTCTGCCTTTGGCTCAGGGCATGATCCCGGGATCCAGGATCGAATCCACATCAGGTTCTCTGGGAGGAGTCTGCTTATGTCTCTGTCTCTGTGTCTTTCATGAATAAATAAGTAAATCTTAAAAAAAAAATGAATGGAAAGAGAAATCATTTACAAATAGATAGCACAAAGAATTCTGTGAGGTGTAAAATTCTAACTTGATTGTGGTAGATCTGTCAAAGCTCCAAAGTAAGCATATCACTTACAAGCTGTGTGACTTTAGGGACATGATCTAACCTCTCTAAGGCTTTATGAATTTCCTCATAAATTGATAATTGCCTACCTCACAAAGTTGTTGTAAGAAGTAAACACAATCATGCTGAAAAAGTACTTCGCATTGTTTTGGTACAAAATGCTATTCTTCAATTATCCTCACCATTAAAGCAGGACAGTCTTCTTCATTATGACTATACCCCACTTCTTTATGAAAAAGTTAAGTTTTTGTATGTCCATCATGTAAAAATTTATTCCTATACGTACTGTACTGTCCACTGCTAGTTTGATAGATGGGAGTCGGAACGGACATAGAAGTGACAGCAGAAACGCCAGGGTTTTCTCCGTCTCCTTTTCTGCCCCGTGTATCTTCAGAAGATAGATCTTTCAAAATTTTTCTGTGAAAAATAAAACTCTATTAATTGGTAATGAAGACAGCTCTATACAAATAAATTGCTCTATTTTTTTCAATCTCAGGTTAAAAGTACAATAATCTACTAGACATCTATAAACTCTTATGTCAGGGCACCTGCATGGCTCAGTCTATTAAGTGGCTGCCTTTTTTTTTTTTTTAAGTTTTTTTAATTTATTTATTTTTTTATTTATGATAGTCAGAGAGAGAGAGAGAGAGAGGCAGAGACACAGGCAGAGGGAGAAGCAGGCTCCATGCACCGGGAGCCTGATGTGGGATTCGATCCCGGGTCTCCAGGATCGCGCCCTGGGCCAAAGGCAGGCGCCAAACCGCTGTGCCACCCAGGGATCCCAAGTGGCTGCCTTTGATTCAGATCATGACTTTAGGGTCCTAGGAGTGAGCCCTGTATTGGGCTCCCTGCTCAGTGGGGAGTCCGCTTCTCCCTCTCCCCCTGTGCTCTCACTCTCAAAAGGTATGAAATGTCTCATTCCCCTAAAAGAGATGCCTCCATTGTAAGGTATTTCATTAATTAATAAGGATAGTATTCATTTTCTTTTTTTTTTAAAGATTTTATTTATTTATTTATGAGAGACACGCAGAGAGAGAGAGAGAGAGAGAGAGAGAGAGAGAGGCAGACACACAGACAGAAGGAGAAGCAGGCTCCATGCAGGGAGCCAGCCCAGTGTGAAACTCTGGACTCGATCCTTAGGACTCCAGGATCAGGCCCTGGGGCCGAAGGTGGCACTAAATCGCTGAGCCACCCGGGCTGCCCTACTATTCATTTTCTAAATAGTGACCTTCACTTAAAAAAACCAAATTCAAAAAAAATTTTATTTTTTCAACCAACTTTTATGAGAATAGAAACCCGTTTTTAGAAACAAGAAAATCAGAAATACTATAAAAAAGCCCATAGTATTAGTGATAAATTGTTTTTATTTATGAATGATCTTTTTTTAAAGTAAGCTCTACACCCAATGTGGGCTCTAACTCACAACCCCGAGATCAAGAGTTGCATGCTACACTGATTGAGCCAGCCAGATGCCTCAATAAAATCCCATAGGTATCCCTCAGACTTGATAAATGGGACTTTGACAGGGATACAGGGATAGATAAAGAGTCCTTGCTGAAAAGAAAGATCTTCCAAAACACAATTGGGGTAGAGGGACATATAAACATTATTTGTTTCTAAAGAAAAACAAAAAAGAATGAAAACAATTTTACTCAAGAATTCTATATTCATTGTAGAAAAATCAGAAAACTGAAACTCTTGTGTGGAAGCCACAAAAAGTCACAAAGGAGAAAAAAAACCCAAACCCTTAGCATTGAAAAGGATCTTTCATTTATTGATGCCAACCTTCCAGCCCAGGCAGGAATTCCCCAACATTCCTAACAGCCTCTATTTCCAGGAATAAGGCATCAACAGCTTCCAAACAGGCAATCATTCAACTACTAAGCCCTTTCTTATTTAGACCCAAAGCTGGTTCCACCTTGTGAAGCTAGAGAAATTTAAGCTTAACGCTAACTCTATATCCATGCCCTACTCTGCAGTATTTGACAATTGCTACAGTTCTTTGAGACCAAGTAATTCCAGTTCTTTCAGCTCTTCTATGATGTATTGAAAATTGTTCTTCAATATGGTCTCCTTACTCTGGACAATCTTCCCAAAAGAGCTAATACAATTGTAGACTATATTAACAGTTGTTCCACAGAGAGTAAGAGAGGTAGCAGTCCTATAGGACTCTGTGTTAGGCATTTGTACAATGGTCACACTAGTTCCTAAACCTGTTTGTATATCAGAATTGTCTGGAGAGTTTTACTGAATCCACATTTCCATCTGGTCCCCCTAATGGCTGAGTAATCCCTTTAATGAGATGCCTGCAGAGTCTTACACAGCCAGCCTATCATGAGACTGTGGAATGCTGTGCCAGTTCTTTTTCACTTTTAAGTTATTAAACATTTTGAGCATAAAGAAAAGTACAGAAATTAAAAAAATACCTATGTACCATATACCAAGAATCAATAGATGGTAATACATCCTGCAATCTCACCGAACTCGTTAATTCTACTTCAGTGCATTATTTAAGATTTCCTATATATGAACCATGTCATCTGCAAATTATTTTTTTCATCCCATCCTTTCCAGTCTGGATGCCTTTTATTTCACTTTCTTGCCTAACTGCCTGAAAACAATGTTAAATAGAAGTCATGAGAGTGGACATCCACAGCCTTGTTGCATTCATTACCTTAGGGAGAAAACATTCAGTCTCCCACCATTATATGCTGTTGGCTACGGGCTTTTGTAGAGGTGCTTTATTAGGCTGAAGAGCTCCCTTCTATTTGTTTCATGAGCATTTTTATCAGTAAATGGTACTCGATTTATCAAATGCTTTTTCGGTGTCTGTTGAGATGATCTTACCTTTTTTTGTTCTTATTCTATAAATACGATGTATTACATCAATTGATTTTCATATGTTAAGCCAATCTTGCATTCCTGAGATAAAATCCTACCTGATAATCATGTATAATGCCTTTTATATGTTGTTGGTTTCCGTTTGCCAAACTCCTATTTTGCTAGGGATCTCTGTGTTTACATTCATGAGGAATATTGGGTCTGTAGTTTTATTATCTCTTAATTAGTGGGTTGAATCCATGTCTTTTTTTTTTTTAAATGATTTTATTTATTCATGAGAGACACACAGAGAGAGGCAGACACATAGGTAGAAGTAGGCTCCCTGTGGGGAGCCCGATGCGGGACTCAATCCCAGGACCCCAAGATCACGCCATGAGCCAAAGGCAGAGACACTCAACTGCTGAGCCACCCAGGTGTCCCGAATCCATGTCTTCCTAATATAATTAATGATATCACTTGATCTACCACTTATTTGCTTTTTTCTTTCTTTCTTTTCTTTTTTTTTTAAGACTTTATTTGACAGAGAGAACCAGAGAACACAATGGGGGGAAGTGCAGAGGGGAAGCAGATTCCCCAATGAGCAGGGAGCCCGATTGGGGGCTTGATCCCAGGACTCTGAGATCATTACCTGAGCCAAAGGCCATGCTTAACCGACTGAGAGACCCAGGTGCCCTGCTTTCTGTTTTTAAAGAGTCTTCTGGGGGTGCCTGCCTGGCTCAGTCAGTAGATCGTGCAACTCTTGAGTTCAGGGTCATGAGTTCAAGCCCCATGTTGGGCACAGAGCTTACTTAAAATAAAGTCTTCTGTATTCTCTTGGGTTTTTTGAAGATTTTTCAGAACACCATTTTAGGGGTGGCCTGGGTGGCTTGTTGGTTAAATATCTGTCTTCAGCTCAGGTCATGATCCCAGAGTCCTGGTATCGAGACCCACATTGGGTTGCCTGCTCAGCAGGGAGTCTGCTTCTTTCTTTGCCCCTCACCCTGCTTGTGCTCTCTAATAAACAAATCTTAGGAAAAAAAAAAAAAGAACTCCATTTTAATTTATCATATATCTGACTAAATCTCTTCATATAATTTAGTAATTGCTCTAGAGAGTTATAATACAGATATCTTGTTGACTTAGAAACACTATTTTACCATGTTAAAGGAAGCTTAGAGGGATCCTTGGGTGGCGCAGTGGTTTGGCGCCTGCCTTTGGCCCAGGGCGCGATCCTGGAGCCCCGGATCGAATCCCACATCGGGCTCCCAGTGCATGGAGCCTGCTTCTCCCTCTGCCTGTGTCTCTGCCTCTCTCTCCCTCTCTGTGTGACTATCATAAATAAATAAATATCAAAAAAAAATTAAAAAAAAAAAAAAGGAAGCTTAGAAAACTTATCACATTGAGTCTCTTTTTCTTCCCCTTTATGTTATAGTTGTCTTACATATTACATCTCCATACACTGAAAGGCCCATCAGACAATGACATCTTCTCTTGTCAACCAAACATAGCTTAAAAAATTCAGTAAGTGGGGCGATCCCCAGGTGGCTCAGTGATTTAGCACCTGCCTTTGGCCCAGGGCATGATCCTGGAGTCCCTGGATCGAATTCCGCATCGGGCTCCATGCATGAAATGAAGCCTGCTTCTCCCTCTCTCTCTCTCTCTCTCTGTCTCTCATGAATAAATAAAATCTTTTAAAAAAATTCAATAGGCAAATAATTCATTATACTTGTCCAGATCTTGCTGTTGCTGTTTCTTCATTCCTAACCTTCCAAGTTTCTGTCTTAAGAGCTTTCTTAGCAGTTACTTTAGAGCAGTTCTGCTGTCAATGACTACTCTTAGTTTTCTTTCATCTGAGAATATTTATTTCACCTCTTATTTCTGAGGGATATTTTCACTAGTTACAGAATTCTGGATTAATGATTTTTTCTTTCAACTTTTTTTTTTTTTATGATAGTCACAGAGAGAGAGAGAGAGAGAGGCAGAGACACAGGCAGAGGGAGAATCAGGCTCCATGCACCGGGAGCCCGACGTGGGATTCGATCCCGGGTCTCCAGGATCACGCCCTGGGCCAAAGGCAGGCGCCAAACCGCTGCGCCACCCAGGGATCCCTCTTTCAACGGTTTTAACATGTATTTCATTTCCTTCTGGCCTCCTTGGTTTTGATGAGAAATCTGTAATGATTCACACTATTTCCTTTTATTTTAAAAAAAATATTTAAAGAGATTTTATTTATTTATTTATTTGACAGAGTACGCACACAAAAGAGGGCAGGGGGCAGGCCGAGGGAGAGGGCGCCACCTAGGCATCCCCACACTGTTCCTGTTTTTCTCTGGCTGCTCACAAGAGTGTTCTTTGCCTACAGTTTTCAGAGTTTGATTATGACCTGTTTGGGTAGGGGTTTCTTTGTGTTTATCTACAACTTATGTGTTTGTTGAGCCTTTTTTTTTTTTTAAAGACATTTGAGAGAGAGAAAGAGAGAGAGCGTGCGCACATGCATGCAGGGAGATGAGGGAGAGGGAGTCTCAAGCAGACTTCAGGCTGAGCCCAACACAGGGCCTGATCTCATGACCTGAAACCAAGAGTTGGACACTTATCTG